CCTTTATTTTAGTCTTACCTTATCTGATGTTAGTGGGTTCCCATGATCTGAACCCTAGAAGAAAGGTGAAAGCTCCTCGCTGCAACTGAGCCGATCAGGATGATCATTTCGCTTCCACGGACAAGGACAGGAGTGTTCCCGCAGCCTCTTTGGGGACTTTTGACCTCCCAGCTGGTCCCGTACACCTAACCAACAGCTTCACGTCTATTCCTTCAGGCCGCTAGCTGAATTGGTGGGGATCTTTGCCGCCCGCACCTGGCGTCACGGCATCCCCATCGGCGGCAAGGGGTAAACAGGGAGATCGGCTTTCCGAGACGCTGGTTTGCTGGGGCTTGCGACAGGACCAGACACTGACTCGATTCCAGACACAGTGGGATGGGGTCGAAGGGAGATGATTGGGAGACTGGGAAAGATGGTTTCATCTGGTGGACGGATAATAAACCCGCCCACATTGCTGGGCCGCATACCATGAGATGGGATCCGGTATTTTGCCCTTCATCCATCAGCATCTCGCTGTGGCTGTACCTCCGCGGATCATCCACCACCACAGATGATCACTCCTAATGATCCAGGCAGTTCTATGCTCATACGGGGAACGAGTTCCGCCAGCCAGAGTGGGCTGTTTGTAGGAGCTCCAAAAGCCACGGCTTGCCATTTTTCCGTGGACTTGTTCATTAATGAGGCCAGCTGAGTCCATGATTTATAGAAGAGGGTTTGAGTCCATCCGTTATGGGCAAGGCAGCCGAGTATGGAAACATATCAATTACACTAACCTGTGCCTGCCTTCACATGGAATCATGTTGTGTAACCGGTCGACTTGGATGTTGGAGTTTAAACGGTTCATGTGTGAGATCATCCAGATGCCAGTGACCTCGTGGGCTCCGATCACTGTTTGTTTACCCGGTTCTACTTCCTAAGTTTGGAGGGCCGGGTGCATCGCACGGCCCGTGCCTTCTTGCTGGTACATCTCGTGTTCACGGGCAGCCGCACCACCGTTAACGCGCTTTCATCACTGGCGATGGTTATGATAGGATGAAGATCTCCAGAGGGTACAATCCAGCACAGGTTGCCATCCTGCAAGGGACTGCCGGAGAGGAGGCTTCATGGTCGGGCTGGTATTGATGCGATCAGGCTGAAATACAGGCTCAGCAAGCGATGACAAATAAGAATCAAGAATATAATATAAGTAGAATATCGACATAGTAGCAAGCTAAAGAAGGGATAAAACCACATTAGGTAAGCATTGGGAGGACTGAATTCTCAGAAGCAGCATACCAGGGATACCTCAAGAACAGTGTCCCAGTATCATTTAATTAGGGCCCAATCATAATGACGGGAAACATTACCCCTTAAGCCGCCAGACCAATCATGCTCTCTGTGGTCGGGTACAATATTCCAGAACTGCTACACTCGAAGTTAAGGGACGGCTGATGCCGCTCCTCCCCTATAGTCGAGCTTGGCAGGGGTTGTCTCTAGTGCGCATGGAAAATACTGATAGTAAGAGAGCTGAGCACCGTCCGAACAAGGCAACAGCCATAATACTCATTATCGAGGAAGGCCAAGATTCTGCTCTAGTGGAACATGGCTTCGGGATAGGCACACCAAGTCTCTAGTACTTCCATGCGTCCAGGCCTTTCATATGGTGTATATTCTTCTGAATCCCGACTCAATCAACGAGTAGAACCTGAGTCGCAGCTGTAGATGTCTTTGTGGCTCTTCATTATGACATGCACTGTTCCAATTATACATCGCGGTTGTATTCTCCGGCACAGGGTGAGAAGCTCTCCTTACGCTGTGGCGCGATGGCCATCGAGGTGCTCGCAATGTTGCTAACCCTAAGATATGCATTCTCTAACTCTTGAAGCTATTTCGTGTGGCATTGAGACAAAGGCCATACATGTTGCGGTCATCGTGTACGATCCTATTGGTAATGAGGATAGTAGACTAATCATTTGAGATGACATCGTGTAACAACCTTCCACCATGACAGCGGCGATGTGCTACTATAGAGCCAGTCTTTCCATGGTTCGGCAGGTGTCATGCTCTTCGGGATTCGAAGAGAAAGCAAGGAGTATCCGGTTGCGGGCCCATGTCTCACCCGCTGATTACAAGTATGCCGCCCAAGTCCACGGCATAGTCCACAAATTGCCAATAGGGTTGTCCCATTCTTCGTGTATATCATACATATTATTGAGAAATTTGACTGAGTCGTATTTGAGCTGTGTATCAAGCAGCAAAGATTTATTTTCATCAGCAGGCATTGCATCTTCCGAACTGATTGTTGCCGTGGAGAATGCTTGACTCAGTGAGACCGAAACATGATTCAGTGTTCAGAGGTCAAAGCGTGCCTGGTGCGAGATGTCATTTTTGTGAGCCTGCACATAGCCAGCTCATTCTCAACGGATTCATAATGTGACCTTAGAGCAAAGCATTAGGACAATCCAAGAATGCGAAGAGTGCGGTTGGAATCCAAGCATCATATCTGACGGGTTCAGCTGGGCTGGAGACGTACCCTTCGAGAACTCAGAAGAAGGTGAAAGAATTGACGATGGTCATACCGTTCGAAACCAGCTGGTCGGTCAGGAGCCTGTGATAGCGATATGAATCGCGTCTTTCAGTACTTGCAATGGTGGTATGTCGACCAACGACGCTCATGAAGTAAACATTATTATAGTCAGACCAAATTGAATTTTGAAGGTCGTTGCCGATCCGGCAACCGTACATACTGAGGAGGAGACAAGATCAGGTGATATGCTCTTAGATGGCCAAACATCAACATTTACAAAGTAAGCTCCTGTAAACATAGGGTACATTTTAATGCCCGCTATTTTCGAACTGTCAGCTAAGGTAGGTCGGAGGCATGGCACAAAGTGCATTCTGCGGTGTATCGTGCCTAGTAATTCCTGCGATATTTCAATATTCAACTATGAATAGTAGTATGAAGGTGTTAATACATGTGTTTTGTCATGGAGTTTGGTTCATGATGTGGTAATGCGGTGTTATGCACAAGTCCATCAGTATATACTACTAGTAGTCTTGGTAGAAAAGCAAAAATGGCAGATACTATGCATGCGAGTGTCGTTCTAATCGCACTTTAGGTGTAATCCACTTTAATTTGATCAAGGGGAACATCTCCACAAACCATTCTCATGATTCTCTTTCTCGATTGTGTATGAGACTATCAATTTACAGTTGCTTTGCATAGGTAAACACAGATAGGAGGCCTGTCCTCTACCAACCAAGGTTACTGTGTTTGCATCGATACCTGCTGAGTATTCGAGGCCTGAATAGACCTCAACTAAGCCTTTCGATCTCCATGACAAGTGTGCCAGCTTCCTAACATGAGCAGAGGCAATCCTGGTGTCACAATAAGCCTGTCACTCCCTCCTACCCAAAATGTCTCAAAGCCCTTGCCGCAGACATCTGCTATCGCACTGCCAGACCCATTGTCCAATTCGAGGCCTCAATACAACTTATCACCACAAGCATCTCTATAACGCTCCAATGTTGGTTTATTGACAACAGAAGCCTCTCGATTGCTTATACGCGACTGCCATATACATCTTCGCCTCATCAACCAACACCCCTTCCGCACCCGCTTCCTCAACAAACCTCTCGACAAACAACCTCTTTGCCTCATTCCTGACCCTCGAATCACCGAAATTCCGAAACATGGGACTAGCAACAGCCTTCTCAAAAACATCCTCCGCATCAGAAGCATTATAAACACGATCCTGAAGCGACTCCGTCAAGAAAACCGTCTTGACCCCCAACCCAGCACCCTCAAGAAGCTCCCTCAAAGAACATTCCCCCTGTACCCAACTCTCATCCCACACAAGCTGCACCCCCAAATCACCACTAATCTTCTTGAAAGTTCTACTAGGAACATGAACATCCCTCGCCGCCACATCCGTCACCATCCTCCCACCAGGCTTCAACCACTGCATCCAACCCTTAACTGCCCTGCCAGGATCAGGCAGCAACACCAACGCCGCAGCACAAGTAATCAAATCGAAGCCCTCCTCTCCACATGGAAGAAGACTTTCCAATCCAATACCTGTTAAATCAGAGATATCATGTTGGAGAAAAATGACGTCCGAACCGGTCTGCTGGGCTTTGTGACGCGCCACGCCCAGCATGCCAGGACTAATATCAATTCCGACAACGAGGCCGGATTTCCCAACTGCTTGTTTGGTGGGAAAGGATACAAGACCTGTGCCGCAGGCGAGGTCAAGGACAGATTCGCCTTCGCGGGGCGCGGCGGTGCGGATGTATGCCTCTGCTAGGGCGCCGTGGTGGGAGGTGTCGTAGTTGTGGCTGCGTTCATCGTAGATGGATTGGATGATGGAGGTTTGGGAGGGCATGGTGAGTACTAAATACTAAGAGGTAAATAACTAGTAGAAATATATTTTTTTGGAGGAAGATAAAATTGAGGGTCAGATCTTCTATCATGATGCTGCGGTTGAGATTATATATAAAGATATAGTAATCTCGCTTATACCCGGTGGCCGCGCTTGTAAGGTTACACGTTGACGTAAATGCGTTTGAAATGGCAAGTGTCTTTGATCATCAATTTTGATGGCTTATCTAGTATTTGAACTTTGCTTTAGGTAGCCTCTCGTGGTTATGATTGGTAAAATGAGGTCCAGTCGCCTTGATGCTACATCATCCTCGGACCATAATACTCCGGACAACCTTTGTAAGCCCGAGTCTTCACCTCTTTTCTCGAAATGTTTATACCTCAGATTTGGTATTCAATCTCATAAAACCTAAAATACAATAGCTGTTTTATAATAATCATTCTCGTCACTGAACATATCAACGCCCTCGTGTCTCGCTTCGCAGTGGTCTTTAGAATATGATGGAAGAACAATCAGCCGGTGTCAACCAGCGCCTCAATTCCCCAGCAACCAGTCCTATCCTATCATTTGTTCGAGTGTTACAGCCAATATCCCCAAGTACATACCTCCCCGATACTGCCATCTATCTCTCTACCTATTCTACCACATCTTCTCCCACCACCTCCTCGCCCAATGCATACTAGCCAACTCCGCCCTCCTTCTCTCCAAGAACCCCCCATCCTCCCAAACCCGACACTCAGCATCCACCTCAGCCTTGCCAGAGAAGATATCAGCCTCTGACGGATCCACCAACTTGGTACCCTGATAGACCTTCCAAAACACAAACATGACCGCCCAAAACGCCACGCCAAAGTACGAAGTCACGAACCCCTCCACACTGAACGGGACGAATACCGTGAACCCATTGAACAGCGTCACCGAGCACCCGATGATCAATGCCACAATAGCCGCGTACGGCTGACACGGCGATGCCCAGGGAAGGAACGTCTTCCGATCGATGCCCTGTGCCTTGAGGGCACGGTACCAGGCTAAAAAACGCAGACCATGCCGGTGTAGGTGAGGATGAAGGCGGTGGTAGTGAGATCGACGAACCAGTAGAAGACTGTGACGGCGGAGGTATCGGCGACGAGGAATGTGATACAGGACAGGAGGGAGACGACGAGGACGCAGTTGATGGGGACTCCGGCGGAGGTGCATTTCAGGAGAAAGGCAGGGGCTTGGTGATCGCGTGCGAGGGAGTAGAGGGTACGGCTGGAGCTGTAGAGGTAGGCGTTACCGCAGGACCAGCCGGCTAGGAGGATCAGGAAGTTGATGAAGCCTGGGAGACCGTGGATGCCGAGGTTCTGGATGCCAATAACCCATGGGGAGGCGGCGGATCCGGCCGCAGATGATTCGATGGCGCTGATGAGTCGAGGGTCATTTGGGGAGCAGATTATGCTCACGGCGAGCACGCCGATAACGTAGAAGCCGACGATGCGGTAGAATGTCATTTTGACGACGCGGGGGATCGTGAAGCGTGGGTTCTCGATCTCGCCGGCTGCCAGGGCCGGGAGGTCGGGTCCGGCGACGGAGAAAGCGGCGTAGATGACGACGGAGAACCAGCCCAGAAAGCGGCCGGTGCTGCCAGTGGTGTAGTACTCGTACATGACGCCGTGCGTCCAGTTGCGGAAGCCGTAGATGTCGTGGTGGGGGTTGCCGCCCAGCATGGTGATGAAGGTCAAGAGGACGAGGCCGATAAGAAGGAGGATCTTGGTGGAGGCCATGATGAATTCGGTCTCGCCATAATATTTGACGGCGACGATATTCAGGAGGAAGCATACGACCATGGCCATAGCAACCCACACGGCTGGGTTGACGCTGGTGTTCCAGTACTGCATTACTGTTGCCACTGCTGAGTATTCGGTGCAGAGGAGCATGAGTCCGCCGTAGAAGTATACCCAACCCCTACAGATGTCAGTAAAAGATTCAACGATGAGTTGGGGCTCTGTACATTGCAAATCCGAATGCTGGGTCGATGTACCGCGCTGCCAACTCGAAGATTGATCCCCGGATTGGCAAGTAGGCGCACATCTCACCCACGCAAAGGTTCGTGGGCCAGATGAAAAGTATGCCATAGAAGAGATATCCCAAGAACAGGGACAGAGGCCCAGCATCGCGCAGGTAAGAACCAATGCCGACAAAAAGGCCTGTTCCAATGGATCCTCCAATAGCCATTAGCTGCACATGGCGCGAGGAAAGCCCACGCTTGGTTTCGTAATATTCAATGACGGTCCCATTTTCTGTGTGAGAGAGACTATCGTCTCCAGACTCTCTGGATACGCTAGCTACCGAGGTTGACTTTCCCATGGCTGACTTTGGCAAAACTGTGGATGTGGACGGCGAGGCCATCCATTATAAACTCTATTGTCCGTCTGCATTGACGGCAGAAATTGATAAGTATAGCTTGAGTTGCAGATGGAGATAATGCAAGGTTTTAGCGAAGAGTCTGGGGAAGTATACTGGGTGATGCCATTCGTGGAGGAGCAGGACACGGATCGCGATAAGAGGCTGGATCATCGGACGATCAATCAGAAAGACAGCCGATGTTATCAGAGTTATCACGTTGCCGAAAGAGGGAGGAGATGGCGATGCCAATCTTGCCAAGTGATAAGCTCACGCGCCATAATTTCCGTCTTTATCTGTATCTGAGTTATGATCATCTGCGCAGATGGGCTTTTACTCTGTGAATAAGAACTGGCGATTTCAACCAGCTTCAAAAGATTGCAAGAAAGAAGGTGTGACAGACTCGATCCACGCACACAGCACAATTCCACTAAAGTGGATGAAGGTTCAGCAAAGGAGTCCTAACATCGTCTTAACCATGAGGTGCGACATTTTCCTACTGAAGTCGCGAGCTTCCAGTGGTTCAAGATCCTAACAGACAAAACTCATATTTATAAATGCTTTGTCTGCTGGTTGTCAGGTGCATATGGTCAGCTTGAATGATTCGAAGAAAATGAAGACAAGATTGGTCAGTAATGCTACGTATCCTTCAGCCTGGCCGATATTCACTTGCTCGCAGTTCTTCAGAGCTTCCCCGCCGTTTACCCCGGATTATCCTCGCTCGGGCTTGGGAGGCGCCTGTGACTTCCCCTCTTTTCGTCGGGATTTGATTTCAGCGCCATGCCTGTGGCTTCGGAGTCGCGGTGCAAAGCATACCGACTTGCATATTGATCCAATGATGCAAACACTTGGCTTGCTCTATTCATTCTTGCATTGGCTCTCTTTGTCCAATGACAAAACCCTAGATGTACCATCGGCCACGACCAACACAACGCCGTGAGATCTGCATATTTGCATCGGCCCTATACGCAGGACTTGGCTTTACTATTTTTCCTGTTGGTGGAATCAATCTATTCCATTCGCATGAATCCGGAAAATATGCTATATAAAACAGCTGGTGGTGTCGTGCACATCATGACCTACACCGGTTCACAGACAAGAATCCCCAGCAGTCACGATGAAGCTCTCTTTCCTTTCCATGTTTTTGACCTCCGCTTTCGCCCTCCCATCTCCCCTCTCGTCAAGGAATGATGTACCACCATTCTTCCTTCTAGCCGGCGATAGCACCACCGCCGTCCAATCCAGCGGTGGAGGCGGCTGGGGCAATGGCTTCATCAATACCACCCTCCACAACGGAGCCAAAGGTATAAACTACGGCCACAACGGAGCCACAACCGTCAGTTTTCGATCCGGAGGTGACTGGGCCACTGTCCTCTCCAAAGTGGAAGAATACAAGTCCGACTACCGAGCTTTTGTGACCATCCAATTTGGCCACAACGACCAGAAGGCCTCCGCGAACATCTCTATAGCTGAATACACCAGTAATCTGGAGCAATTCGCAAAAGATGTCAAGAATGCAGGAGGCACACCTATCCTGGTGACGCCCTTGTCTCGTCGCAACTATGATAATTCTACTGGGACGCCTCTCATCATTGAGAATTTGGCGGACCAGCGAGCGGCGACTATCGATGCTGCGAAGAATACGGACACGTCTTATATCGATCTTAATAAGGCGAGTACCGATTACTTGAATAGTATTGGGCCGGCCGATGCGTATACGTACAACTTGGCATCGGATGATTATACGCATTTGAACGACGAGGGGAGCATAGTGTTTGGGGGAATGGTTGCTTCGTTGATTGATCAAGATTTTGCAGAGCTGAAGAATGATGGCTATGTTAAGGTGAATGCAAAGCTTCTGACTGCGTTGGAGGAGGGGAAGTACTACTGGCCTTGATCGCTGGTTTCGATGAGATTTGAATAAACATATGTTGCCATTGTACTGTTTTTTTTTTGATCTATGTGCAATGGCTAGTGGATGTTATCCATCAAGCAAGAAATGACATATTTCACATCCGAAGTTTGGGAGTTCTCAGCACAACATATCTGTGTTAATAATATGCAAATTTGGTTTAAGAGCCATCGTTCTAGGACTTTTCGACCATGCTGCTCTGTCGATTCAAACCGCTCTGTAGATACACTGCATCAATTCCCTCTGCCCTCCCCTTCAAACAGCAATTCTGTATCCCAGCCAAACGTTTGTGCATCCATATGTGTCATCCAATACCAAAGGAATCTATTCTATGACCCGAATAACCTCCGATAATCTGCTCCACTGACTCAGCTTAGCAGGATAGCACCATCCAGTGTAACATTCTTGATCACAGCTCAAAGGTAAAGACGTAGAACTTTGGAAGTCTTATAAAATATGAGTATATCATGGTCGTCAGACATTGCAGGGGCCCTTGAGGTAGCTATATAACCTTGAGTATTGGATCATCTATCATAGCATCTACTGACAACAGCAGTGTCTGCACTGTTTATGTACTCAGTGAATATTCCACCACTACAATATGAATCTTTGGGTCTGGGGCAGTCGTTTCATTGTCTGCATTTGGTGTTGGAGACGTTGCACATAAGATCCTCTACGTGCAATGCTAAGGTGGTTTCATGCACTGTATTATGCAAAGATATTTGATGCCAAAGCGTAATATCTCACAGATTAGAAAATGGCACGAGTATCCCTGATCTACATTTTCGTCTATATAATAACCACCGAACCTAAGCATGTGAAATTTATGGATCCTCCACCAAGGTCTCTGAGATCATTGAATATGTCCGAAGTACAAAAGCGAATATTGAATAGAGATATATCCTCTCCGAACAGTCTTTTCTGTCTCAATCGACCACAAAATACCCCATGTTATCCTCCCAGCAAAGCAGAAACAGACTACAAGAAGAAGCAAGGACCTCTGCACCCTACCTACAATATCCAATCACGCAGCAAAGTCCACAAACAATGACAAACAAGCTTCTGCTGCCAGATGACATACCTGCGCAGCGCGTCAGCCCAGATCTATAGCACGGCGAAATACAGCCCTTCTATGTATGCAATGTTATGTGAATTATTGCATGGGCTTCTGCAAGGTTCGGTGGGTGGGTGTCAGCAGACAGTTCTCTGCAGCGGAAGTAGATGTAAGACTGTCTGGTAGACTTCAGAGAGTAGTAGGAAGTATATGCTACCGGAATAGTACATAGGGAGTAAGTGTTGAACTTCTCTGGGAAAATATCTCAGCACACCACTACCGTCACCACCATCACCACACCACAACAGACTCAGCTGGCACACACACATACACACCAACTAACTACGTTACTTCCTGATCGGCAATCTTCATCCGACAGCCATGACATCCCTCGTTACATCCCCCAAAAATAACAGCAACGAGGCAAGGGGAAAATAGGCCATCTCAGACGCAGGGAGGGAGGCGAATCCCGAATCAAGAAGGTGACAGTGAAAGTGCAGTCTAGAGTCGGGTGCAGTGCATGAGAATTGAGACAATAATAGCAATAGCAGCAGCAGTCCAGTCCAGTCCAGTCCAGCCAGACCCGAGTAGTAGTATTCACTAACTAACTTACTAGTAATTTAGTTCAGTTAACTACTAAGTTAGTAAAGTGCTACTCGGCCGTGACATCGAATAACCACGCAGAACTAAGAATCGGCTTATCTCCGTTCCTTCTGATTGCATACAGCCGGTACACATTATTACCATACAAACCTAAGTAAATACAGTGTTAATGTCTCAGCCAGGTTCACCAGGCAGTCATTCATTCATTTGGTGCCCTATATTCACTTCTACTAACATAGACATAGTTAACATACTCTTCCTTCATCCCTACCTACCACACACCCATCATTCATCATTCATAATCCATCATCCATCATCCGATCACCAATCACCCACCCATACCGTATAACCCAGTAAATAACATAACATAGTAACTTTCCCATTCCACATGCAGGGACCACCCAAAGGTCCGTGCATCCAACCGGTCCTCTCTACTAACTTCGTAGCTAAAGTTGCTAAACTGCAGTAAGAAGGTAACTGAGGTGGATGTGAGCTGGTTAGAATGACGGGCGGCCGGCCGGGCGCGTGTACGCGGACGTGGATACCTTCCTTACCTATCTTTCTACTCCGTACGTACTATCTATTAATTTCCTCTCCATTCCTGCAACGCGTTCTGCACGGCGGCCCGTGGCACGGGAAGACTTTTAGAAGGGGGCCAGCGCTATGGCGCTAGTTTAGGTGTGTGTGCGCATGCGAACGGAAAGACGGATGAGTATCTATCTATGTATCTATCTACCTCGGAAGTAAGAACTAAGAAGTAGGTGTAGTGGGGAGCTCCTATTTGCCTAGGAGTCTAGCTAATTTGCCCTACAATGGGAATAAGTAAAAAAATGACTGAGCGAGAGAGTGAGTGAGTAATAGGATATCCCCAATGGAATGAAAATCATTTCATCACATCACACCCCTCCAACAAAGCTCGTAGAATAGTATGGAGTAGTGGTAGTAAAGTATAGAAAGTGTGATCCGACACCAACCGTTCTGGGGCCCAAAATATCCCTCATCCGAACAACTAACACCAGCAACGCAGCAAGACAGCAAGCAAGAAAAACCAGCATAATCCCGTTCCCGTAGCGTGCAGGATCGTCAAGGCTCAGCCGCAGTTCCGCTCCACCACACCACTCCACAAGCTGGTTGGAGTAAAATAAAAGATGAATATTACATATACTAGTACTAGGTACTTAAGTAAGTGTAGTGAAACTTACAAGTAAAGAGAAATCTCCTCGGAGTAACTGCGGGTAATACCATCATGTATCTAGATACGAAGCGACTTGCATTAGTAGTTTAGAAAATTACTAAGGGGAGGTACTACGAGTCTACGAAACAGGTTTAGCTAGGCTAGCTGGTAGCCTGGCAAAGCAATTATCGAGAGAAAAAAAAACATAATTAAATAAAAAG